ATTAAGTAGTGTTCAATATTCGTTAGTGTTCTAATTCAAAGCCGTGTTGTATCCCAATACAGCTCACACAGCAAACGGAATTCGAACACGTGGATGTCGGCAATACGTATCAGTTAAATTTGAAGCACTGACGCAATACGACTCACCCACACTCAGGATGATGTATGTTTTTGGTGAATTTTCCCATGCATTTTCACTTTTTTTAAGCTATTGCTGTGCTCAGTTGGCGCAATGTAATGAAAATTGATTCTCTTCGTGCACGTGTTCACGCAATCCCGGCCATCTATTCTACGTCGCGCTGCCGCGCACAAGCAGTATGTGCAGGAACAGACGTATTACATTACTCAGTAGTCAGTACTCAGTACAGTATGCCTTTAATTATCTTTCAATAATATATGATTTTCTTTGATACAGAAATTTGGTGAATGAGAAATCTAGAACTTTATTTTATAAGAAATTTTCTCAAAAGTCATATGGCAACACTGAACACCATCTGTTTACATTTCGTATGTATAATAGCCGCAGTTTACGATTACCGTATGTTCCGTATCCAACAAGGCGGACAAGCGGAAGAGTCAGAAGTAACCCTGACATGTCTTACATTTTATCATTGTCAGTTCGACTCGCGTAGTCAATATACTTGCGTATATTGTCGACTAAAATAGTAGAACTATTTCAGCTTTCTAAAGTACGGCGCACGGCGCAAAATGACAAAACAAATTCCCGCGCACCTGGCACATCTTCCTGACCATGGCGACTCACCACGTGGCCAATATTGCCACACAAAGTGACGGAATATAGGGATTTGGTAGGTTTCCATTCTAAAGGCTTTTTAATAAATATGGCAACATTTTGTGACGTTTCATCGTTGCTGACGCGTAGTGAAGTGTTTTGAGAGTCATGTGAAGGCAACAGAACTTACGTAACGCATACGTTTTTTTTATAGTTTTTCATTTCTCGATGCGTCCTTAAAGTGTTGGAATATACCGCGTTTACCCTATGCTATCAGCCAATCTGAGCGACTAGAATTTGTAGGTTTCAATAACTATTTAATCCAGATTCCAGACTGTAGTTACAAACCACAGATTTTTACTGAGCCTAATGACAATTGACAACTTATCATCAAATGTTCTCTTGTTCTGTCAAAGCCACACACATTAATGATCAATGCATTTTGACAAGACAAAAAACCCATAAATTTTGAATTTAAAAAATAGGTGAAATGCCCTCAGGTGAAAGCGTGAAACTAAATCTCTGTCTGCAAAATTAAAAGCATGAACACTACCAAAGTTAATTCAACCATAATTTACACAAAAATCAGACACCATTAAGGCATTATGACGGGCCGACGGGGAAAGTCAACCCTGCTATAGTGTAGCTAGTGCTTTACCATTAGCATTACCTAGCAAACTGAGTTGGTCCAGGTCCAGTAACTCCAGTTGGAGTGTTGGACGATCGCAGCACTGCCAGGGCAGTTGGCAGTAGACAATCGCTGAATCAGAGATAGGCCTAGCCGTGTAAAATAACAGATCTTAACCAATAATTTACAAAAAAATGAAGCTGCTGGTGTGGGTGTCAACATCTTTTACGCTAATATCTTTCTATTGTCAAGGAGACCGATCGAATAGTGAAGAATGCCCTAGGTTGCCGACAACAAACCATTAAACTTGAAGACGCACATATGACAGCAGCCCCTGTAACTGATTTTTTTTTATTAGTTGGGGTTAAGACTTGTGGCGACAAAAATGCCCACCAGCCTGATCTCTGTCAGAACCCCCCAGTAACTTACTTGGTTGATACGGGGCAGCACCGACGAAGGTATTATCGCCCTCCCCAGTCCCCAGTAACTGAATGTTTAAAATTTAGAAATTTTTTTTTTTATAATTTGATTTGAAGGCTTCGGGTATGCAGGTAGCACACCTCCCAGCCTGAGCACAACTGGGGGTTTTGGACACTTCACTTGACTTCTAGATCTCTTTACCTCCTAGCTAGCACTTTCACAGCCAGTGTGGCAGTAAATTGTGAAAAGAAAATTAAAATTAGGCTTTTTTATTCACAGCCTGGTCACCACATTGCAGCTAAGCAGATATTGACCAAGGAGACGGATGGCAGCAGTGCGTTTCCTCATTGGGGCATCACCACCTCCAAGAGCTGAGGACAGCTCCCAGGGAAGAGACAGGCCCTCCAGTCTTGTGCGGAATTCTCTTCGTTGGTTGATGAACAGCGTGCAGTGCAGGATGAGGTGTCTGATTGTGCCCTCTACATTACATTCTGGACAATTACTGGAGTTGGCTAAGTTGAATCTGGCCAGATGAGCGTTAACACCAGCATGCCCCAGGCGCAGACGTGACACAGCGCATTCAACAGAACGTGGTAGTGATCCATAGTCCACATAGGATATCTCAGGTCCCAAGCTTCTTCGGAANACTCTCCATCATCTCAACCAACTCACCAGTCTCCACCACTCCAGATGACTCTGGAGGACCAAAACCTGACCCAGCAAGGCAGCCAGAATCTCCCATGATGAACCAAGTCAACCAACTTTAACTGAGTCAACTCCTTATGAAAAGGACCACAGGCACAAAACTCAAAGGATAATCAAAATAAAGGCAATAATTTGAAAACAAATGTAAATATTGAAACAGGAAACAAAACTGAAAAAAAATAATAATAGTAATAAAGTAAATAAAGAAAACAAAAATAATAAAGAAATAAAGCAAAGCAGACTGGCAAACCTCTGAGGGAGAAAGCCAGTCGTGTTTTATAGAGAAATAACTTGAAAATGATTATTTTAAGCAAGTGCAAAAGCTAATACTTTAAAATTAAATTCACCGGTTTTTAGAGAGCTCAAATGACGGACGTGCTATCGCCGTGAACGCAACTGACTTTCTCCTAAAATTTAGAAAGTATTGAAAAAAAAAAAGTAGACCAAGCAAATAAATTGCCGGATAGATGTTACTCAATCATTTTTACCCTAAAATTAAGAAGATTTAACTCTTTTGCAATGAAAAGTGTTCATATTGTTTGAACGTTATCAAATTATCTACATTTCGAGTCTTTTTAAACAAAAACTATGGTCTGAATTTCAAGCCTTAGTCATATCGTTTCAATGTTGTAGGCACAATTTAGGGTAAAAATTCAAGTTCGAGCAGAACTGCTGATGGCCAGTCTCAGCTGTTTTAATGACGCATTACAAGTTACAACCACGAACGAATGAACAGTGCGATCATCTGTTTAGCGTGCGTGCGTTCTTGATTTGAACCTCTTCGACTTTAGCACGGTTGTAATGACGACTCTCGCACAAGTAGTGAGTAAATCAGTAAATGTTTTTTTTTAATGTGGAAGATATTTTGCTGATGCATGTTGACGCAATTAAAGGGTAATGTGTTAGTTTTTACTTGGTCGTTGTAATTGCGCAAATACCAGGTTGGCTCATGTTTTATAGACCACTGCGACCAGGGTCACAGTGCCGCCGCTAGCTATAGGCTATAGCCGAGTGCCGATCCCAGTGGGAACATAAATTCAGTGACACGAAGGTCCATTCTAAAGGAAATATTACTCTCAGTAGCAGCACCAGCTTTCATTACACAACTAGGCTAAGTGAAAAATATTTCTATAAAAGTTGCAAATTATATAATTATGGAGTTTTTAAAGTCATGAAATAATTTGTTTTGCAGCATTGAAAAAGTTAATCAAGTTTTGTATTCACTCTTTGAAGTTTGAACCTTGAAGAACCAAGAAAAGTTCCTAGCCATGAATTTGGTAACTTTTTTATAAAACTACAGATTTTTTTTACAATTTTGGAAGTTAGCTCTTATTGATTTATAATTTATTAGCAATATTTGGTCATATTTGACTATTGAATTATTAAATGTGGTTGAAGCTATGTTTTCCAATCTCACTGCCTCAGGCTCTGAGCTACAACTTGATTTTCCAAGCCTAGAGTTTAGGGGTATTTTAGTATATGTAAAAAAAATTTTTGGAATAGTTTTTTTTTTCATGACATACTCTTTTCTCAATTTATTTCCTAGTATCAAATTTGCTTATTCTGTTTAAAAATAATTATTTGAATCTAAATTTTTTTAAATGACAAATTTTGGTCATTTCAATAGCCATTTTTATCAATTCTAGTTTTGAATTTTAAATATAGAATTATATTCTAACTTAGATCAAAATAGTAATTTAAAAAATATTTTAAGTGTAGAAAAATTGAAATTTTATTCATTGAAGAAAAATCAAAATCTCTGTACAGGTTGACTTCACAGTCTTAACCAAATTCATCTATGTTCTGTTTGTATTGAAGTTACCTCATCCTACCTAGATAGTAGAATATAAGAAAGGAAATTTACATTTACTGCTACTTTTATTATGATCTCCTAGTTTTTTACTAGCTGTTGAAAACACATTACAGGAACTCTAGCCATGGTACATATATACATAAGATTTACTTTGATTTACATTTCCTTATAGGAAAATTTTCTTTTGAAAAATTCAGTTGATATGTTTTATTGTAAGTTAGACTCATTTATCTCTAATGTATTGCATAGAATAATATGCGTTTAAAAATTACTTTTTAAAGACAACACTTCTGAACAATCCAGTGTCTTGGATGTTACACATTACAATGAATTTCTAATTTTATTTTCAAATATTGAAATTAAGATATCAAAATTTTGTAAATTTTCAAAATTATTTATTCTGTCAATTGATTTATGCATTGTCTCTGACTTTATACAATTGTGCAAAATTTCAGATCAATTGGACAGGTCAAATTGTGTCATATATGGATTATAAGATTTGTAGCAGACAAAATTATTTTTTATTTTTTTTTAATAATGAAAAAAATTTTTATTTATAAAATTATTTATTCTGTCAATTGATTCATGCATTGTCTCCAACTTTCCGCAAGTGTGCCAAATTTCAGATTGATTGGACAGGTAGATGTGTGTTAAATATCAGTTATAAGATTTGTAGCTGACAAAATAATTTTTTCAACTTTTTTTAAGATTGAAAAAAAAAATTTATAATTTTTAAAATCATTTATTTTGACATTTGATTCATGCATTGTCTCCAACTTTACCCAAGTGTGCAAAATTTCAGATCGATAGGATAAGTAGAAGTGTGTTAAAAATTGATTATAAGATTTGTAGCAGACAGACAGACAGACAGACAAACAAACAAACAAGAAATGAAATTAAAGAGAAGTGTTGTAATAAAAACAAGTAATAATTATAAGGCTCAAATGCTGCAATACAACTTGATGTATAAACCAATAAACCTTTATTAACTGTTATTATTTTACTTTAGACTAAATTTATATCATAGATAATTACTTGCTGTTAATTATTATAGAATTCACTATGAAAAAAAAATGTTCATAATAATTGTCTGTTATACATTTGTTCATAAAATTTATTGTGTGTGCAGCTCAAGAGTGGTGTGGGGCCAAAACTTGTACCTTTCTTCAAGACGGTCGCTATTTACTTTGTTGTGCTCATCCCTCATGAGCAGCACTTGGTGTTCAGGGCAATCCTCAAGGCCCTCCCTGTGATCTCACTCATTGCCTTTGTTCTGCTTCATGGCATGAGTTTTGGTGATGAGTATGTTACTTATTTACTCAACTTATTAGTTAGTATCTTTGAAATATTTGGTGATGGGTATGTTAATTATTTACTCAACTCATAAGCATCCCTGAAATATTTTGGTTATGAGTATGTTACTTGTTTGCTGAACTTATGTCACTGAAATGTTTTGGTGATGAGTATGTTACTTATTTACTCAACTTATAAGTATCACTGAAATGAACTTGGCTTGAAAATATTGGGGCAATTTTAGTTTTTTTAGCACAATTGAATGCACACATATTTCCAATTATTCACTAAATTTACCATAGTTTAATGAACTAAGCCATAAAATTAATTGATACTGTTTTAGGCTTAAATTCTGGGCCCTGTGTTCATAATATTTAGTTTGGTCTCTTAACCCCTGGAGGAAATAAAATACTATTGGTTATAGATTATTTCTAATTTATTCCTCTATGCCTCGTAATATACTCAAGTGACAAGTGAAAATAATTACCAATGCTTGCCACAAAAAAAATTTTTGGTTTTTGCCGCAGGTACTTCTACTCGCGCCGCATTCTCCTTGGTTTGATATGTTCAGTGGTTGGGGATGTGCTGCTGGTGTGGGACCATCTCTTCCTGCATGGCCTTGGTGCATTCCTTGTTGCTCAAATATTCTACATTTCGGCATTTGGCTTCAAGCCTCTCAACTTACCAGTTGCTGCAGTCTTGTACCCAGCTTTGGGTCTCAGTAAGTTGTCCAAGATGAAAAATTAGGTCTTAGTGTTACAGTTATTTTATATTGTCTTGCTTCTTTTTTATCTATCAATTTTCATTACTAAAGTTAGATGTGCATATTTTTAATTATTTCTCCATAGGTTTCATGGTGCACAATTTTGTGGTGTAAGCTTTAATCATGTTATTTTGACATCTGGTAGTGCATTATTTTTTGTGACTAGCATTAATGGCAAGGTTGGTGGGTTATTCAAAGCTGTGCAGATGCAAATATGAATAAATTTCTCTCATGAAGCTCGTTTATCCCCACAGGTCTGTACATAATAGTGCCGGAAGCTGGAGGTGCTCTTAGTGTGGGCGTATGCGTGTACAGTTTTGTACTGGCAACAATGGTGTGGCGCTCTGTTGCTCGGGTCCAGCTATTCGAAGAGCTCTGGACTTGGACAAAACTTTGCTCATGTGCTGGAGGAATCTTATTTGCCTTCTCAGACACATGCATTGGAATACATCACTTCCACTCCCCTCTACCTTACTCAGAGGTCCTTTTAACTAATATAATTAGGCTTCTGATTTGCATGAATTAAACTTTAACACTGGTCTGCTTTACTTCATGTCTATTCTCTTACAGCTTGGGTACTATTTAGTGTCAGATTGATATTAAAATAAAATTGATTTCACTATTTAATTAGATAGATCCTAATTTCTACTAACCACTCGAAAGGCCTGTTCAGTTTGCCATAAATTTAAGACCAAAATATGTTTGTAAACTTGGTTGAGTAATCTAATACCAAAACCAAACCTAGAAATTATGAACATTTGAGTAACTTTTATTTTGAATGGGCAAGTTTAGGTCATGAAAAGTGCATTGTTATAATTAAAATTGCATTTATTATATTATGAAAATTATTTCTGTAACTCAATTATGATATCCCTCTTCCCAATTATTAATCCATTTTTATCTTGATTCTGTTGGCAATTAGTGTAGACTGCTGATTGCATGTTATTTCTCAGGTCCTCATCATGGGCACTTACTACGCTGCTCAGTTGGGCATTTCCCTCAGTGTTGTGGACTGCAAGGCCAGCTACCTTGACTCCCTCAAGAGAACTGCGGGCATTGATGCATCGTCTGCTGTATTTGAGCAGTCAGTTTCTGGGGAGAACTCGACAAAGAAGCGCAGTGCAAGGCGTGCTGCCGAGATCAGTGTCAGCAATGCTGGTATTCATTATGATTAACATCGCAATACCGGGTCCTCCTCTCACTTAATGTTATCTTCTGTTGCTGTTTAAAGCTTCATAGACTTTAATATCGCCCTGTCAGATGTCATCGATATGTACATATGCATCTTGTACACGTATTATGATTGACAAATCTAATGTGCAGAAACCAAAACTACTTGCAGCATCAAGCCAACTATCCTGGTTTGATGCTACTTCATTAAAAAATTCCAGCATTCTTACATTTTTTCAACAGTTTCCTCCATGACTACATATTGCCTAGTCAATAAATTTTCTGAAATATTTAGACGTATATTAGGAGTGTTCAGTTTTTCTCTAGTTTCTATGTCAATTAATTAACAAATACTTCAGATGCATCAGTTATATTGGAGGTGACTATCTGTTAGACGGTGTGCTGGTTGACTCCATGTCACGTGGACGCTGACAAGCGAGGTCCTCTGTAACGTACAAGAATGGAAACACAATAATGGCTTCCTAGTTTTGTGGCAAACCAACCGTGAATTGGTAATCAAGATTTTCACAGCTTAAACGTATAAATAACCATTCGATTATAATTGATCTATTTCGTGCTGTTTTGTTAACAGTTCAAATGTTATTAGTCTTTCATAAGAAGAAAGTATTTGCTGTGTAGCCTGGCCAGACCAGCTATAGAATAATTAAGGATCCAACAGCAATAGAATGATAGAGACTGCGGCAAGAAATTACTTTATAGGCATAGCAATTCCTTAAAGGTTCAAATGGGTGGCATTTAGCTAAAATATAGCCATTATTTTTTCAAATTTGTTCCGAATAACTATTTTGATGTTGATTATTAAGGAAAACCGTATTCTTGGCCAATAGTATGAATTTATTTTCTCTGAATTCAGACGTGAACAAAACAAGGCGAGTGTATCATCTTTATAGCGAGCGTAGAATGTAAATGCCTTACAAGGAATATATTTGCAAATAATTTCACGCGCTTCATATTAGGAAGCTAGAATAATTAAAAATAATCTAAGGGACGCGTGTACTTATGGTTTATGCATGCATTTCTCTCTGAAATATTGTATTATCTTTGATGGGAATTAGCAATTAGAGACAATAGTTTGAAGTATATGTTTTGCTCAGTACTTTTTGACGAGTAAGTTCTTGGCCCTCACTCCTGGGTCTTCTGTGCAAGGGTCTACAACCAAGTTATTTATTATTTTAAGCATTACTTTTAAAAATTTATCGTTTGTAAATGACATCCATTGTAGTGATACGCCTTCTGAGACTTGTAGCCTTTTAACCTACAAATTTTTATTGCGTTCACCCGAAATTAAAAGTTTTTACTTCACCCTATATTTCAGATGACCTAAATTGTACTGAATATGTGTGAAGATTGGATGTCGTTCTCACAACCTGGATTTATTTGTAGTATCTGAGCTACATTCGAATTAAGTCAGACATTGTTTATTCTGTCGTTGATTAGAATGCTTGTGATGTTTGGGGTTGTGGCTAATTTAAACCAGTTTTACAGAACTGTTCGGGTGTATAATTTTTATTGAATAGAAATATTATGTCCCGTATAATTGATGTATTATATTGAAGTTACCTTAATCTACCTGCATTTCCGTACATTTTTGCTGTAAGATTAGCGTGGAGCGTCATCTCAACAAATCTCTTACCATTGCACTGCAGTGCACAGGATAGATACAGTGTACTCTCACAGTGCCTATTATTTTGGTATAACTTTACAGAGGTAAACACAACGCTTTAAAACACAACACAACGCTTTAAAACTCGCCCAAAGATACAGGTTTGATACACATTGGTTAGGGAAAAAGTATCTTTGAAAATTTACCTAACTATTTAATTATTTCACGAGTGGAAACTTTTTTATGTATTTAGTTGGATAGCTTCTTATAGGAGTACAAAAATAATTCTTTATGCCAGGGAAAATAAATTTGATAGGATGTTCTGTAAAATATTGTTCTTTCTGTTCTATATGTGTAACTTATTATTACTTAAAGTAATATATAGCTGAGTTATTCCCATCTGATCTATTGTTTCAACAATTTTGCTAGTCACATTTCTAATCTTAATTCTGTAATGGAACTTTTCAGTTCATTTCTGATCGTTTTTCTTACAAATACGAACCAAAACCGCTTGTCTTATTACTAAGTGGACGTGTTATCGCACTGTACAATTGTCTGAACCTTTGGATCTTTTTCAGGTCTTTTTTGACGGCCTAAATGTTTCCTGTACATATTTTAAGGATTAACTCGTGCCACAATCCAACTACCTAAAATTCACTCGTTATTCAAATTTATCACCAAAAATATATAGTTTCTTACATGTATTTACGCATGGAAAAAAACTTTTTATTCATTATCAAACTGAAATCGTTTTAAAATTTTACGTGGTAGGTATTCTTTAGTTATTATCGCAACCTAAAGCCGCCCGAGGAGTGATATCTTTCATCGGCATAAATTTTTCCTAATAGATTTCTTAATGAATCTAAGCTAACTGATCTGACCTTTGATTATCAATATTTTGTAAAAGTCAATTATTTTCTGTGATTCGTTTAGTAACCATTAGTTCCTATCTAATTGTCAACTTAATTTACGGCCTAATTCGTAACTACCATTGAGTCTATGAGACACGTTTTCATCCTCCATTTAAGGGTAGCATGACATACCATTTGATAGGTAACAGTGTTTGGTTTCGAATGCATCCATTGATGCCAATGCATCAAAATTTATGTTAATGCCTCAAAATTGATGCATCAGTAACCTTTTGCGTATTGGCAACGTCAACTGCGGTCCAAATATTCAAGGTAACTTATTTTCTCCAATTACAAAATTATTTGACCATTTATTGGCTGTTTGATTTACAGAACTTGGGGCCACATTTACTCTATAAATATATACACTCTCTCTGACAACCGCTCTGTCGCGTTCCGTTTGGACCTCGTAGGTTGACTTGCGTCGATGCTGCTCGTGGTCTTACCGTTCTTGTGACGCGAAATATTTTCTTGTCTATTCCAGTCCTTCGGTTTTTCTCTCAGCATATAGTTAGATTTTAACTCAATCTGTCGTTGATAGTAGAATCTTTTAATTTTGCTAGTAGTTATCTGGTTGCGATCAAAAAAGTATAATCTTTTAATCTTGCTAGTAGTTATCTGGTTGCGTATAAAAAAAGTAGAATCTTTTTAATCTTGCTAGTAGTTATCTGGTTGCGTATCAAAAAAGTATAATCTTTTAATCTTGCTAGTAGCTATCTAGATGTGTATAAAAAAAGTAGAATCTTTTTAATCTTGCTAGTAGTTATCTGGTTGCGTATCAAAAAAGTAGAATCTTTTTAATCTTGCTAGTAGCTATCTAGATGTGTATAAAAAAAGTAGAATCTTTTTAATCTTGCTAGTAGTTATCTGGTTGCGTATAAAAAAAGTAGAATCTTTTTAATCTTGCTAGTAGTTATCTGGTTGCGTATCAAAAAAGTAGAATCTTTTTAATCTTGCTAGTAGTTATCTGGTTGCGTATCAAAAAAGTAGAATCTTTTTAATCTTGCTAGTAGCTATCTGGTTGCGTATGAAAGCGTCGTTAGAACCTGAATCGTCCGTCGTCCTGGTCATAGACCTGCTTGATGAAAAAGCCTTGTTAATCTTACCTAACTAGATAGTTTTACGTCTTGCGTATCTGTAAGCTCTTGTTAAACGTTGCTTGAGCAAATATCAAGCCTTTCTTTTTTAGATCGCATCTTGTTGACAATCGTCCATCTTTTCTTCCCATTGTATGACGTTTTGTGTGGTACTGTGTACCTATTTTGCTGTGTGGTGCTATGTAGTATCTTCTACAGGAACTCTGACTGCAAAATTTCATGCTAGACAATTAGAGCTGGTGTTCAAAACGTAACGACGGCTATTTCTGTCTAAACCAAAGTTTAGCGCGTTTTTTATCACTGTAAACATATGTTGACTACATAGTAATATCTATCTACGCTCGCTATTGATTCCAGACTCAGGTTGTCAGTAGACACACTGCAACTAAACCTGTACCCAGCCAACTTCCGCCTGTGGTCTGGTGTAGATTCAACGGCTTTGCTCCCGCCTCAATTGTGATCGAAGAAAACTGCTGGTGATTGAGTCTCTCAATAAAGCATTTACTACCGAATACGTCGAGTTGAATCAACATCGAGATGATTGCTTCTAAATGCGTCGAGGTTGGTCGAATATGAGGTTAGTGTTAAAACTATTAATATTATTGTTTTAGGACACGTTGACATTTGCATTAGTCGTCTTAACATTTTAGTCATTGCCTCTCTTGACTTTCCAGAGTTATTGTCATCGATTGTTCTATTTAGAATCAGCCACCTGTTTTAGTATAATAATCAATAGTTGTTGATCCTATCATAGTTGAAATCCAATTATCCCATCCAATTCCTCCAGGAAATTCTACTTCTCGAATTCTTGATCATTCTTGTACTCGTCATTTTTGCGCTAGACGCTAATAGGCTGCCGTTGGAACGGCAATCTGTAGGTTGTGTTCTTTCCTGCATCTTGTTAACAGTGAGAGTAAAATACGGAACCTTGGTACGGTGAAATAGGCCTACAAATGGCATTCTTTTCTCGAAGCGACCTGAATCTGATAGAGTCCACTGTTTGTATTCACCGTGGTAATGTTTCCCATGCTTCCTTGATGCCGTTAAGTATTATGTTTACGTTGAAAGCTATTGCAATCGGAAGTAATGTCATTTCCTCATGAAGATGTTGGTCGTCAGGAATTTCTCGCGGGAGCCAGAAAAAAGTTATTGTTCATGAGCGCAACTAATTTTATTCGTTCAGCTGCTCTAAAACGGCAGTTAAAAGATATCATCACCATCATCATCATTATTGTTATTATGAGTTTTTAAAGCATTCCTGACAGCTGTTTGAGGATCTCCAAATTTACCTTGGTTTGCAGTGGGTCTGAAATATTTAATTAATTCAGTGTGAGTTACGACTGTTGATAGATCGAAGCGTGTCCGTCTGGAAATGGATGTTTGTTATGGGACTCATAACTTCTATGTATGATACACGAGTATTTGCACGGGGTTCATCTCTCCCTAGAAAATTCAGGAGGAAAAATAAATGTTTTATCTTAGATTTTTAGATGAACTGAATAGTTTTTATTGCAACTGTTTGACGCCAGTTTCCTCGGTCGACCCGACGATGGTCTCTGATTGTTGATATGTTGCCCTTTGTATACTTTTATGCATGTATATTAATGAAGCTCTTGCTTTATGCCGGTTTCTACAGGGTTATTCTAAATGATGGACCCAATTTAATAAATTCGTTTTTATTCATGTATAGAGACGGCACGTAAACAGCTATATTCGTTTTAGCGGTTTATTCATAAAATGAATAAATTCGTTGTATTCATGAAGATGCGGGCCGTAAACAGCTTCCTTGACGTAACCCCATAAGCAATAGTCACATGGGGTGCCAGATCTCCATTTCCTACGCGTCCTACCCAACGCTCAGGAGTGACTTCAATGCGGCCCTATTCCGCGTTTGAAAAGGTTTTAAAAATTTTGATTTTATGAATACGAATTTATTAAATTGGGTTCATAATTTAGAATAACATTGTATACTAGAACTAAACCAAAAACTAAAATATATGTGATACTTCCGTCTCCCAGGATCATTTATACGTCGTTGCCAGAGTTTTCTTAGTCTATTTCATAAGTTTACTTATTTTATTAGAGTTGAATCTCCCGTGAATGTATCCCTCTTCATCCTTTAGAATGCGACATCGCGCTAGTATTTCATTATCCAAGTTTCAAACTGAAAGTATTGATAACAATAAGTAGTAAAATATTAATTCTTTAACTTCAACCTATTATGTAATTTAGTTGTAATTTTCCATATTCCTAACGAAACATTGTACTTTTGGGTTGTGCATCGCGTTATCTAACGTGCGTTGTATGTTACGATTAGTAGTTCATGGGTCCGATACTGAAAATTTTACTAAGGGCTGTGAACAATTATACTTCACCCATTATCCAATTAACAGTTACTTATATCGTGATTCATGTTCACTTTTAAAATTATTAATTGAAAATGCGTTGGGATACACGAGAACATGCGATCAAGATATATCCTGATGTGGCTCAGCTTCGTATAATCTCATCGATATATCGGATTTACACTGCATGTTTTGAGGGAAGTGAATGTGTGATGTTATGATCATCTTAAGACACGAAAAAAGAA